CCCGCCGGGACCTCCCCGCCGGGCCTCGCCTCCCACCTCCGGTCTCCTCGGCCCTAGCCAGCGGGGAGCTGTGGGGGATCATCCCCTCGCCTCCTCTCCTGGGGGGTGGGCGAGCAAAGTCCTGGTGCCGGCGGGTGGGTGGTTGGATAACACAAAAGGTCGGCGTGCTCCCTGACTCTCTGCTTGCCCTATGGGGTTGGAGTGAACGAACCGAGTGCGGCCGGGGAGCAACTGGAAATGAAAAGTGCCGCTTTCCCGCTCTTGAGAGGATAGAGAAGAGGGGGGGAAACCGCTGGCAGGTCGGTGTTTAAGCAGAAGAAACTTTTCAGAGAGGAGAGACTGCTTTTCTGTCGGAGGTAAAACTGTGGTGCGGTAGGAAGCAAACTGCAAGCTTGTTGAGCGGGTTTTAGAATTGTGAACCGAGCCGTTTAGTTGAACTTTTCTTTGCGTAAAAGGAAATGGAGGCCTCAAGAAAATCAGTGTTAGTTCCCTGGAGGGTAGAGCTTGTGTGAGCACGTATGTACGGGCAGAGTGACCCGAAGGCCTTGGAGGCCCGGTTGCTGAGGGAGCCGAGGGGAGTAGCGTGGGGTGTTTCCTGGGCATGAAAACCAGGATCCAAAGGGCAGACGTTAAAAAGACTTCCTTAAAGTCGTAGGCCCACGTTGCTGCATGTAAACGTCCTGTGGTACAGTTGAAAATCTTCCTTTTTGGGTATGGCACTTGTGAATCATTAATACTGCGTTGAAAACTGATGTCTAGGACTGCGTATCTTGCATGTTCATTTATTTAAAGCGTATATGGTGGTTTATAGAAGAGTTGGTGATAAAAACTAATTTTTCTTTCTTTTTCTTTCTTTCTTCAGTTATCTAGTCAGAGTGAAGTCATCACAAGAGTCGTTCAGAGACTGTGTGAAAAAAGAAAGAAGAATGTCCTCGCATACGGATATTCCTTACTGGATGAAAACAGTTCTCATTTCCAAATCATGCCGTCTTCAAGTATATACAGTTACCTACCCAATACTGCAACAGAAACTATTCGTATCAGCGGCCTCTGGGAAACACTGCTGAGCAGGATAGGGGATGATGTGATGATGTATTTATTGGAACACTGTGCAATCTTTATGCTGGTTCCACCTAGTAATTGTTACCAAGTTTGTGGGCAACCAGTTTATGAACTTATTTCACATAATGTAGACTCATCCCCAGTGTTTGTTAAACAAAGGTTTTCAAAGCATAAACGTAGTAGTTTGCTTGACTATATGCAAAAAAGGCTTATGTTTCATAGACAGTATCTTTCAAAGTCACATTGGTGGAAATGCAGACAAAGACTTGAAGCTAATGTCTCCAACATGGAAAATAAAAAAAATAACAAGATACAAAGCTTGGTGTCCAGTTACCAGTATTCTGCAAAAGCTGTTTCTAAAGCAAACAAACAGATCAGAATGGTTACCGAACATCTGGAAAAACAGAGTAGCTCCAGTTTATATTTGTCAGCTATGGCACCATCTTTAAAAAGGAAGCTTGATAGGGAACAACTTGAAATTCCAGCTAAGAGAGCAAAAGTAGAGGACAAAGTGAGAGAGGAAAAGGCTTGTAATCTCATTCCTGATGTAAACAGAAGTAGTTTCAAGAGATATGGAACTGGGTATGTAGCATCGCATTCTGTAAGTCTCATTAAAAAAAAGCACATTTCTCAAAGAAGTAACAGTGATATGTCTGGTCCTTCTTTAGTTCGCACATCTCGTGATGGGAAGAAGTTTGTGGCAGGTGAAAGCTCTTTTCTGCGAGGAGTTCAGAGTAACAAACGGTTAAAGTCCAGCATTGAAATGCAAGCAGAATCCCATAGGAAAGGAGTAGAGATGCGTATGTATGAATCTCAGTTGGATTCTGTACAAATCAAACCCGTGGAGGGTATTTCTTCAAAATGCAGAAGGCGGGAAAGTCCCCTAGCTCATTTGGCAAAGAAGTTACCAAATACGCTCTTGCGTTCTGCAGTGTACGTTGACAGGAAGTTTCTTCTGTATTCTGGCAGGAGTTGCCAAGAATGTTTTCCTAAATCGTTTTTACTGAATCGCTTGCAGGGCTGTCAGGCAGGTGGAAGACAGCTTATAGAAACTATATTCTTAAGCCAAAATCTGTTGGAGCAAAAGCCCAGCCAAAGTCTGCCACATCACAACTGGAGAAAGAAGAGATTGCCCAAACGCTACTGGCAAATGAGACATACGTTTCAGAAACTGTTAAAGAACCACGGAAAGTGCCCTTACTTAGTTCTCTTGAAAAAAAATTGCCCTGTTTGGATATCTGAAATGAGTGTGAGAAAAACTGAGCTGCCTTCTCAAGTAGCCTTGCCTGGGGAAGCAGAGGTTCATGAGCATGCAGAACAGTTTGGGAAAGAGCCTACTAAGTGTGTCACAAGCAGCAGATGTCAATCTGGTCATGCTGATGGGCCAGACAACTTATGCGTTCCTCTTGCAAAATCTATGCGTGGGGAGTCGCAGACTGAGGAGCAAAACTCGGGAGAGGTGTGTGATTCAGCCCTTGGGGAGCTCCTCAAGCAGCACAGCAGCCACTGGCAGGGGGAACATCTTTGTGAGGGAGTGCCTGGAGCGGGTCATCCCCGCTGAGCTTTGGGGTTCAAACCATAACAAGTGCCGGTTCTTAAAAAATGTGAAAGCGTTCATTTCCATGGGGAAGTTTGCTAAGCTTTCGTTGCAGGAGTTGATGTGGAAGATGAGAGTGAATGACTGCATGTGGCTTCGTCTAGCCAAAGGTACTTCTTATATTAAAGAACTAAGTGATGGGGGTGTCAGATGGCTGGTGTTCACGTTTAAGGTGGGAAAGGGAGGGTAACGAATCTGGTTTCAGAATTGTTGGGTTCATTTCATTGGTAATAACCATAGCTGAGAGAGCAAACCTAGTGGTGTTTGTAATTGATGGTGGAAGAACGCTTAAACCTGTCTTCCTTCCAAAACTTAAGATTTCAGTGTTTTCATTCATGCTTTTTGTTTTTAGTAGGATGACATTTTCATAAACATGAATTCAGAACCTGGGCCTTTCAGCAGAGCTCTTTTATTTCCACCCCTATCCTCCAAATTGCACTAACTCTGAAAATTCATTGAAGTATGAGCTAAGCACGTAAGGAACAAATGCAGTCTGCCTGTTGGTTACCGTAAGCCTTCGGAAAGAACTAAAAGCAAATCAAGACACTTGTATTGACGTGTTTTCACCTGCTGTAGGAGCGAACCTTCATCCCACAGCATGGTTTTTCCACCACCACCCCGCATCTACAAAGCCTGTGAGAAAGACGCGAGTGTGGGACCTGTGCAACACGGGAGTTGCCCACCATCTGTCACCTTTCTAGAGCCGTTCTCTAGGAAAAAGAGACTGTTCCTGAGCACTGCTTCAGGCTGGGTTGTTGGGGGTGCCAAGGTCTGAGAGATGTTGTGGGGGCATCAGCCGATTGTTCCAAATTCTATAGGAATCCCTACTGTTTAGTTCTCTTTTCAGATGGTGACAGGTAAATCTTGCATCCCTGAAGAAATCTTTCTTCAGAAATTATCCTAGGACTTAAATCTAAGCTGAAGCTGTGGTTCTGTGGTTGATTGCTGTAGGATCTAATGCAGATTGTCATTTTTCTGTGCTCCCATTCTCCATCTATACAATGTGGATTGCACTTCCTTAACTGCTATGTTTGCAGTGTTTATTCTTACCTGCTAATGTACTTGGATCCTACAGTAATGCGAGCTGAAAGTGGTATCCCTTTTTAAAAGGTGTGGTAAGGTTCTGAAATTGCTGCAGGTTCTTTGTAATATAGGAGGAGAATAAGAAGTCTGATGTTTGAGAACTGATGTGAAAAATAGGGCAGGTTACACTTCCATAAGAAACTGTTAATTCTAGCAAATACATTGATTCTTTATTCAGAAGCTATGGCTCAAAAACATGCTTTTCAAAATGCTAAGCAGTTAAATATTTTAAAAGGTTTTTATTGTAAAATACACGTTTGGTTCATAGTCATTTGGAACATCTTATCTTAAAAAAATGTAATACCCTCTTATTCTGTGGCCTTATTCCAGGAAAAGCAGCACATAGGCTTGATTTTAATTTTCATGAAACTACTCCCTTGCGCTTGAAGTTTAAACACGCATGTCATTGCTTTACTGCACTGTAGGTGGGGTTTTTTTCCTCCAAAAGTAGTAGTAGTGATTTCTTGTCAGTTCCCAGAATTGTAGTCATCATTTACATCTGTTATCAAGAACTTAGAAAACAAATGATCTAGTTCCAGGACAGCTACTTAACAACGTCCTGATTTAATTTGTGTATTACAACTGCATATTGCAACTCTTCAGTTAGAGAATTTCCTAACAATCATTCGATTTTTTCGTTGATGTTAACCTGGCTTCTGTTGAAATGAACACTGTTTTATCTCTTTTTGATAGTCTTTTCTTAGGTGCTGTAAATACATGAAAATGTGTCCGCCCTGAAGCGCACAAAAACCGAACAGGGTAGAGAACTGGAAACTTACTTCCATTTTATAAGTTTCAGTTTTAAGCCTCAGCTCTATTGTGTCAAAATTAAGCTGTTTTTAACACATTTGTGCCATAATCATGATTTGCGCTATGCAGCTAAACTAATATTTCTGTATAATTTCTTTAAATTATCCTGTTGTATTTGCTAAATTCTACTCTTAAATTTATTTAGAAAAAGTATTATTGGAAATTGGCAAAAATTCAGTATTGTAGCACAGGATTTTATTCCCTACTCACCTATATTTAGACATCACTGCAAGTCTATGTGGCCGTAAATTTGACAGTGGCTAGGAATGTTTTAGATTCATAATTTTTGTACCATTTAAATATTAGAAGTGCTGATGGACTTAGGGTGATTTTTTTTTTCTTTTTTTTTTTGATTGCAGCAATAAATTTTATATAGGATGTCTGAGATAAAGCCTAACCCTGAAATTAATTTTCATGTAATTGGGAAATCTGAATATCTTTCTCATCCCTAAGTCAACCCAGATAAATTTGTTATTTTTACAATATACCTAAGTATTTTCATTCTTTTACTTTTTTTTTTAAAGTTTTATATTGTAATAGGCTTATTTGCATTTTACTTTTCCCTTCACAATAATCTTGCCATTGTGCATTAAAGATCTTGCACAATCAACATTGAGGGGAGAAAGTAAGTCTGGGTTACTAATGGCATGTATTCGTATCCTGTATGTCAATTTGTCACTGCAAATTAGTTTCTATGTTTGTACTTTAAACTTGGGTCAGTCACATTATTTAATAACAGTGAAAATTAGGAGCGACATCTGTGCAATTGTTTGTATTTGCTTTTTTTCTTTCCATTAACCTCAAGCTAAGAAAAGAGTGTTATGTGTGGGTTTGTTTGTTTGTTTGTTTACTAATTTACTGTTTCTTTACTAATACAAATAGTTGATGTTTACTATAACTACCTTTGAATTGTTTATTGAAGGTGATCACTTTGTTCCTGCCTATGAACATTGTTTCCGTGAAGAACTTCTGGCTAAATTCCTATACTGGCTGATGGATACCTATGTTGTTGAGTTGCTGAGATCATTTTTCTATATCACCGAGACCATGTTCCAGAAAAACATGCTTTTCTACTACCGAAAGTTTATTTGGGGCAAGTTACAGAACATTGGAATTAGGTAACATTAGAAAACTAATCAAACACTAATGGAATATGTGGACATCTTGTGTTTTGTAGTGTAAAGTTATATTCTGCTTTCATTTATTGCCCATTTATCCTCCTTTTATTTGCCTAATATCCCAAAAGAAATTTTGGCCTGTGATTGTAGTGTGCACAGCTTGTAGATTCAGAAATATTTTGTGTGAGAAAACGGATTCAAATTTACAATTCTTTGGTAGGAGTAGAGAAACCTTTGCAGTAATAAAATCCATTATGAAGAGGATTTTGTTTTGATAAGTCAATTTTTTACACCTTTTAACAGTGAGTAAAGCATAGTGACAGAATCCCAAAGTAACCTTGGGAAAATTAATTTTAAAAATACTCAACTTGCTTTAACTGCTTTAATTAAAAAAAAAACCCCAACCAAAAAACCGAAAAAACCCCCCAAACCCAAAACCCCCCCCCCCAAAAAAAAAAACCACAAAAACCCCTCCAAAACCCCCAAAAAAACCCCACCCAAACCAAAAACCTCTGCTGAAATGCTGTACTACTCTACTCATAAATTCAGGCAGTAGCCTTGTGTTTTGGGGTGGTGCGTTTTTTTTTTTGAAGGTTGGGGGATTTAAGAGCTGCAGTTTCTTTTTTACTGTGGCTGTGGAATTCTGTGCTGCTTTTTTGATCTTAAAAATGCATGCATGTATGTAAGTTAGGGCGTTATTTAAGATCAAATTTTAAGCAATTAAGTGAGAAAATAGGAAAGATCTGAAGGCAATTTAAATGAACAGTATTGTGCACACATCTCCATAGTTCACATCTGTTGGGTTTTCATTGTAAATTAAGTGTCTGAGAGCACTTTGGAGCTGTGCAAAATGAGCATACTTGATGTCTTGTGTCTTAATGGCCATATTATATGATGAACCTTTTGCTTTCGCAGTGGTCTGTTGGTATACAATGTTATGCGTGTGATTTTTTTTTTTTTTTTTTTTTTCTGCCCTGCCACTCCCTGATTTCAACATTGGTGTCTCCAGTGCAGCTTTTCTGCATATATGTTTGCACTTAATGGGGCCTCGATCTTGTTTGCCATTGTAGCACAGAATATGCAATTTAAATAGTAGTAGAAGAATATAATTTTTCAGTCCCACATATTCTGTTAGTCTTATCTTCAAACTAACTGCCTTAGTGTTGCAATTAGTGTTTTATGTAATTTTAATGTACTTCAAAGTCTACTTATTGGCATAAAGTATCATCAAGTACTAACTTTTACATATTAGATATAATGCTGGTTTTAGTGGGGTATGTGATTAAAAGAAATCGAGTATTTTTGGGTTTAGCCCTTTTGACCCTATTCCCAGTTTCCCAGAAAAATGCAACATGTAAGGACAAGGTGCTCTGAACTCATAAGACCCTAATCTGGGCTGATCTCGTTTCTTCTGATTTCCTCCCCACATATTTCCCCATGGTGCAAGAAGCCCCTTCTTACTTTTGGCTCTGGAAGTCCCTGAACTGCAGATTACTGGAAGCTGGGTAAACATCCCAAGGAAGTACTGCTGGACTTGGATTTTATCATGAGGTTGCCTTTGCACTGCATTGTCCTTAGGGAGCAAATCCCCATCCTGAAGGACTGTCCGTATGAGTAGATGTTCTTGTGCAGAATCCCGCTCAAGGGTACAGACCATGGTTCTGAGAGAGGACCTGAATCTGTATGTTTGTCTTGCTCTGTGGGTGGAGGTGAGACTGTGCTGGTCATTGCACACAACTTCCTATAAATTTTTGAAGCTATACCAAATTTCATGCCCCAAATTAAAACCAATACTTACTAAGAAAAATATAGTATTTCATGATACAGTTGCTTCAAGTTACATGGCCCACAGAATGCAGTTATGTTTTAAAAATAATGTACCCAATGTTGTGGTGACAGCACCTAAAGACCTAAAGACCGTGTCCCTCCTTGCCCTTGCCACACACAGTGGCTGCTGAAGATTGAAAATGCAGCAGAAGTTCTGACTCTTCCACCATCAGATAGTGGCGAGATGTCAAAAGACAGCAGGACCATCCACTTGACTTCCTCCAAGTTCCAGTGCTTAACAGCATTGTGAGTGTGCAAAGGAGAGCAGGATGGTTCAGTGGCCACTAGATTAGTGCATATTCAAAATCATTAACGCTGCTATAAATGCCATGAAATCAGCAATGAATGTTGCTGCAGGCAAAATGACATCCAGTTCCACAGCTTGTGAGAGGTAGTAATGATGAAGAGCTGCCAATAATTGGCCTTTGTCTTCACTGTCAAAGGAAGTAAATTTTTTTTTTTAATACACTGGTTAAGGGTTGTTTTTTTTTTTTTCCCTTCAGCCTTAATTATGAACTGTAAAGGGATGGAGATTTGATCATTCAGTTGTTTCTGTTGAACAGGTGTTTGTTTCGTCTTGGTGATCTACCTAATACTGTAGTACACAATGAAGTTTTATGGGTTCAGGAAAGAATTTAGGTCATGGTAAATAATAGTGATTTCTAGCTGTGGAAAAGAGATCTCCTGTCCTTGCTGCTTTACTTTGGGTAACATCTGTACCAGGAGTGTAATTCCAAAGTTGAATATAAACACTCGTAATAGCTCAACTTGCCGGCCCTGGATGCCTCTGTACCTTCTAGGTGTCATGCACTGTATCACTCAGTCCCTGACAGTCCCAGCAGCTGGATCATGAGCTTGTATGTGAGTTGTGTTGGCATACAGAAGAGAAGTATTTGTGTGCCTCTCTTACCTACATGCTTGGCTTCTCAGATGTCTCCTAGAGCATGCTTACCAGGTTTCCACCATGCATCTACTGCCTTTTGTGGTAGTGGCCTCCTTTTGCTAAACCAGCCTGTTGGTTTATGTGGGATGTAAAAAATCTGCATGCAAATTTAGATTTGGCTTCCTTCTTTTGTGGGGATTTGCATTGTCTCGCTTTACTTCCCAGAGGAGTATCGTAACCACTAGGCTGTAGGGTTTTTTGGAATGGCACATTTTGTCCTTCTGAACAATACAAGCAGTGCAGGAGATTGATCCAGGTCTTTTACATTCCAGGTAGGGTACGTTAACAATACATCTTAAGTAAAAGCCACGGTTTTTGTTCCACCTCCTTTTCCTGCCTCAGTGCATGGGAAAGTATTGGTTTGGACTAAGCTACACTGAACTGTAAATCCTGAGGGAGTGTCTGAGAGGGAAACATATTTCTCAGTAAGATGAACTTACGGAGCTCAGAACCTGTGACTTGGGAGCCTTCCATTCTTCATTATTTTCTGCTATTCACTTTAGCTGATACCTGCTCATCAGATCGGTTCCTTTGAATTGCATTACTGGCTACCTGAATGCCCTTATGTTGTATATGTATCCTAGTATCTCAGTTCACTGTAACTTTTAATAAGTAGTAGGTCCCCTAAATGTTGGGAGTAGAACAACTCATTAACAGTGTGTAAGTCCTTCCCTGGATGTTTCTTAACATAGTTTTCAGAAGGTTCTAGTTCAACTTTCAAGCTTCTGAAACCATGAGAAATATCCAACTTCCCATTGTCTAACATAAAAAATATTTCATAATGTTCAAATGTAGTCAGCTAATCTGTGCTTAAATTTTCATTTGTGTTAATTAAGAGATTTTTTTAATTATCTTAATTTGCAATAAGCAGAAATGTGTCCTCTCTTACTGTTGTGTAACATCGTCATTAAGATACCATGAAATTGTTCTGAAATTCAGATTTCCATGTCACTTTCTGCAGAGGTTAGTATTTGTAATTATCTTCTTAGAAAAATGTTTGGCTTCAGTTATCATAAAGAGATTAAATGATGTAACTTACTGCCTTTCCTATTGCTTACACTAAATATGTATTTGTATTTTAGAAACCATTTTGCCAAAGTACATCTACGTGCTTTATCTTCAGAGGAGATTGAAGCTGTCCGTCAAAAAAATTATGTTCCTATGGCATCAAAGCTCCGGTTCATTCCCAAAGCGAATGGGTTAAGACCCATAGTAAAAGTGAGCGGTGTTGTTGAAGCACGAGCATTCAGCAGGGAAAGCAGAGAAAAGAAGGTTTTTATTTTCTTTATTGTTTTATGTGGGTTTGATGTAGGCAGCTAATAAAGTGAGTGAGGTTTTTTATATTATATAAAACTAGTTTTAACATTATGAACTGGAACATTCAATCAGAATGACTGAATGGGTCTACCTGTTGCAACTTAGCTTCTCCCTTCCCAGTGCTTAATTACCATTAGCCTCCAATTCCAGAATCACATACTTCTGTTCGCAAGCATGTCTTAAGGAATTAAGTCTAACAGAATGGCATTGCCTGTCAGTTAATCATGTTTTCTTTCTCTTCTCTTTCCATCCGTTTCCCTCAGGCTTGCTAACAGTGTCTGGTTGTGGTAGGCATTGGCCATCTGTGGGAACAGAAGGATGGAAATCTCAAAGATATTCAATATTCTGAACTAACATGGCATATTCCTTTGGCACACAAGAGGGTGAGGGATGGGCGAGTCCAGCCTGTTAGGACTTACCTGAATACTGATAGTGCATGCTGATCAGCCAGTTGGCTGTAGTGCCAGGTCAACCCTGAGGGCCAAACAATGGTGAATTGGATGTGTTACAGAAGAAGGTCCAAGAAGGATGAGGAAGCTGGATCAAGTATAGTAGGGACATAGGAAGGAAGCTGGGAATTACTGCAGCGTGGGAACAGAGACAGAACACGCAGGGCATAGAATAATCTATTTAACAGGCCAGTTAACTACAAGACATAGTGGGAACCCAGTTTCACTGTCTTGCATGACTGCATTAATTGTTTTTCCTTAAGGCTGAGTCCCATTTAGTGCACAAGATTAAATGTTCCCCATGGGTGGAGGTCAGTGACTTCTTAGTACTTACTGTTCAGTATGTGATCCCAGGCCAGATTTACAGGGCATCAACTAAAAGCTATTCTGAAGTGTTATTTCTTCATAGTCTTTCTGTGACAGAAAACTGCGTTCAAACTCTGGAAGGAAGATGATCTTCCAGTTCTTTATATGTGACAATATTTCAGGTTTTGGAACTTGGAAGCTAGTTTGGAATTGTAGGAGTAGTCTTGACCAGCTTCTGTAGGCCTGCACTGGAATGTATCCAGATGAATTGCCAGAGATAATTTCCCAAATGTCCAGCAAACCAGCTTCTGATTCTTGGGCAGCTGTCAAACTTTGCTGCGAAATACAGGGTGGAAGGAGTCCAGTTCACTGATTTGAGGATAAATTCACAGTAGATTTTGTTTTGTTTCAAAGGTTTTGCGTATTTGCTTTACATCCTTCTTCCTTTTTCATTTGAACCAATGTTTTTTTCTTATTTTTTATTTTTAATGGGAAGCTCAAAGCACTGGGAGACAGCAGGATTCTAAAAGACCTGATTTGTCTGAGAGCTTATAGTCTTTCAGTGCATTCTGCAGAGATTCCAGCAGATCTTAAGATTTTGCAAAACTGTTAACAACTCTGTGGATTAGACCTGTTCTGGGGAATTAAGAGGCTTGAGGGAATTCCTTCTAACTTGAAAATGAGGAAGGAGCTACTGTGACTACTGCACCTCCAGGTATCTCAGGTCTAGTTCAAGCTGGGATTGAAACCAGTCTCAATTTTCTTTTATTGACTCACCTGCTAACACCCGTATGGCCATCAGCTCTGTGAAAAGATGAAAGTGTGCTTTTTTGTGAAAAAGCAACCATCCTGGGATATGCTCATTAAGAAAGAAAGGAGGAACTTTTCTACTGATGATTACTTTGATCTTGCTGCTTCTGTTTACCTTTGAGCTACCTCTGTACCCTTTTGACTGTTTTTCTTAGGAACTTGGCCTATAACAGAAAAGATACCACTGCGATAATTCAAGAAAGCGTCTTAATTTTCAGAAATCTTTGTTTTATAAACTGGTCAAAAACATTTTGCAAGATCAGCCGATGAATGAGCATAATTACTTACCTTACGTAAAACAGTGAAGTTCGATCAAATTGTTTTGGAGGCAGTGGCAGTAGTACACTAAACATTTTTGGTGAGCTTTAGTTTTGCCAGCTTTTCATTGAAACCTGTAATTGATTTTTTCAGTGCAACAATAAATGTTTTAAGATGAATTGGAATGCTTCCATAATTAGTAGTTTCAGTGTATCCATATCACGATCACAGTACTGCCATTGAGAGTAAGTTTTATGTTTTTATGTTCTGTGTATACATTCTGGAGGATTTCTCTGAAGTTCTAAACTGATTAATAAGTATGCTACGTGTGCAATTTGTTTATTTTCTTCAGTAGTATGGCTTGCCCTTTCAACATTCTTTTGTTGCCAGGTCTGTCAATATTTTTTTTTCCTTAACATGTTTACAGAGCTAATCAACTTGCACGACTTTGCTCCTACTCTGGTGTACTTTACTATTCCCATAGCTGAGCATTAAATCTTTCCTAATGTGCTTGCATAAAGTACCTCCAGAGGCTCAACTGGTGGCGCAGCAGTCTAAAGTCTAGGGGTACATGTTCTTTTTGCTGTTCTTGTGATAATCTCCAGCAGAGAGAATGAATGATATTTAAGAAGTTACCTTCTAATTGGTGGTGGTTTTATTTGCTGGCATCCAGCTGTTTATCTCCTTAACTATTACACCTTGATTTCCAAGAGTCAAGTACGGAAAAAACCATTTTCCATAGGATTTAAATGTACAAAAGAAACAAAAAACCAAACAAACAAAAAGTAAAAAAAAAAAGTAAAAAAAAAAAAATCTCTGAAGCTGTTTTATCACTTCCAGGTAGTTACTGCAGCTATATTCAGGCTTTCTGAAAACTGCAGTTGACCAAAATATTATAGTAAATATGTAAATTTAATTTCATATTTCATCTAAATGTGAAATCTGTATTACAGAGAACTTAATATGTTTCAGTGTACTTTAAGGTGATTCTCTTTGGTCTCTTTAGATGCATCACTACAACACTCGACTGAAAAATCTCTTTAGTGTGTTAAATTATGAACGGACTATAAACACCAGTTTTATCGGCTCTTCAGTGTTTGGGAAAGATGATATATACAAGACATGGAAGAAATTTGTAACAAAGGTTCTTGAATCAGATGGTGAAATTCCTCATTTCTACTATGTAAAGGTATGTCTTTTTAATTACATATTCAAACTAACTTTTCAAAGTCAGCTTGTGCAGATACTTTCCTAGCTGTAATAGCTGTGATCTGACTGCATAATTATTTCTTTTTCAAAATAAACTTTTGTGCATACCTAACACAGACTCTCGTTGGTTTTTTTTTGGGGGTGGGGGGGTG